TTATATATATATATATATATATATATAGTTGCCTCGGTTGTCGTTGTAGCTTTTCTTTTGATTATCCTTTTTTTTTATAAAAATAGGATTAACTAGACTAATGCTTCACGTGTGTGTGGCTTTAGGTTGTGAGGATTCTATGCAATGACAGAACAAGGAAGAAATTCACCAACCGCTGTTAAATTTTAATCACACGTGTTTACAACACGATATAAATTGAGAATAAAAAAATATAAGCAGTCTGGCGAGCAAAAAGGTGCTTCCAGATTGGTCCCAGAAGAGGATATAAGTAAGACAAGAAACGAGAAACTTCTAAAAAACTAATGTATTCATCGGATTTATTAAACAATGGAATCATAAGTTAGGACAGTCAAATATGTCTACCAATATGCATAGCGAAGATATATATATGTATATATCCCTTCCACAAGACTGCTTATGCTTGATTATTCGTGATAATAAAAAGGCATGACAAAAAACTGAGATTAAAAAAGTACCTAGGGAGCACATACGCAGAATATTGGGAAAATTAATTTTTGTACCAATGAGATACACGTGAGCAACGAAAAAACGTCAAAGGGCACAAGAATAGTATTAGGGAATACAAGTTACCACAAGACGAATGAAAGAAAAACGAAACTTACCAATTATTTCCATTTTTATTGTTTCTTTTGTATTTGCAGAACATTTTGGTAAGTAGCATAGAAGTAAACCAAAGTTGTTCTTCAGAAATAATCATTGAAGGTATCGTTGTACATTTCATTACCTTTTCGGTATTGAATTCAATGATTGTCTGACAACAAATGTATCATTGACAATTTCCCAGCCCTTATTCGTATCTTTTCTTCATGTGTTTGTTTCAGCGCTTCTTGTCAATAAAAAAAGACACAGTCTAGTAAAAGATAAGTAAAAAAAGGAAGCAAAAATTGAATGTGTAATTGATAAGGGAATAGGTGTGGAGAGCGAGAGAGGGAGGGTAGGGAGGGGAAGGGGGGGGGGAGGGGGGAGGGAGGGGGAGGGGAGGGGGAGGGGTGACTAAAAAAAAAGGAAGGGTA